ATAACGCACTATGAATCCAATTTGTTGGCAAAAAGATCATTGTTGGTAGAGCCGATAAAATGTTATATATTTCAAATCTGGAGACCTTGAGTTTTGCTCCAGTAAAATTGTTTAACATTGTGGGTCATGAATTTGAGTTACACAGCCTAGTGTCAATCAGTGCCAGAGGTTATAGCACCAATCGACGCCTTGATATGTTCTCTGTTCGGAATTTTGCGACCGTTAATAAACTTAAGAGATATTGTCGATAATATAAGCAGTAAGGAAAGTAGTAAAGTTGGACGGGGCCGACTGTATGATACCCTTCACCACATTGGGTATATTCCACAGATGAATCCTAACAGACGTCGCCTTTTTAAAGGACCAGTAAAATGAAATTGGAACCATAAACACGTCATTCTGCAACCGACACTAAATTTTTCATTTGGTCAGATATAGAAGCTATATCTAAATCTGAACCAGAAACTTAACACACATCATTCTAAAAATTGGTGCCAACCGAAAGATATTAAGGGGCTTTGGTACACCATTTACCTTAAATCGGACGAATATATATGGGAGCTATATCTAAATCAGGACCGATTTTCACGAAACTTAACACACATCAGTCTCCATATAACGGTATCCCCCCAATATTGGTTTTTATTGAGATTTTGTTCGCGATTTCCAACAAATTGCCTGCAATTTAGTATTTTGAATTCCCATTGGAGTTACAATTTTCGTACCAAAAACTATCCAGTTTACTTTATTTTCAAAATCTGATTTCACAATTCTAATCAGTGGCCAATGCTCTACAAAGCGTTTTCAAAAATAATTGGATTAATTAAATTTTTTAAAAAAATTGACCGCAGTTTTCGGTTCACCGTATTACATTTTTACTTTTTTCTTGCAAAATCGTAATCAGTGTCCTCCAAACCTATCGGATATAAGATATTTATTTATTACATAAACCCACTGCGTTAATTAAAAAAATGAGATCTCAGGCCCATAAAGAAGCTGCAAACACAATAGAGTAGGCAAAAACCCAATGTAATTTCATTCTGCAAACTATACTAAATTTTTCATTTGGACAGATATGTAGTCGTTTGTTTACAATGTGATAAAATTATGTAAATCAATTTAAAGCAAATCCCAATTAACATGAAGTCGGTCGAAAAAACTACATGGACTCTGTCCGCATTTCTACAAAATGCGATTACGTAATTCTATGCTCACTTTTGTATGTTGTGTAAAATTTCGTGTCAATTTAACAGGCATGAGGAGTTTTGTGCACCATTTACTCAAAATCCCACGAAAATATATATGAAAGCTATATCCAAATCTGTACCGATTTCAATGAAACTTTCCACAGGTTAGGTTATACTAACTTCAGTGCTTTATGTGTCTATTGGCCATATTTTGGATCCTTACTGCACCATTTACTTAAAATCGAAAGAAAAAATATATAGAAGCTATATCCAAATCTTAACCGATTGAAGCAAAACTTGACACACTTAAGGCTATACTAACTTTAGTACCTTGTGTAAAATTTATGTGGCAATCGACCTAACATTGGGCCTTTCGTGCACCATTTACAGAAAATCGGGAGACTGTATATATTGGAACTATATCTAAATCTGAACCGATTTCAATTTATCTTTTCACACGTTAGGATATATTAACTTCAATACGTTATGCCACATTTTGTGTCAATCGGCCTAACTTTGGGTCTTTTTCCCAACCTTAATAGGGTTTGTCCTTTGGCCAAATAAATGAGCTGTGCAAAATTTCATCCAATTCGGATGATAAATGCAATCTGTACTTTGTTTACAATTTAACATGGACAGACGGACATGCATAAATTGACTCAGAAAGTGATTCTACGCATATTCTCAAAAGGAACCATGTGTCTATTTCGTTTCTTTTGGCCTATTACAAACATATGCACAAAGACAAAAAAGTCATATTTGGATAGGAGGTAGAATTAAATCTGGAAATTTTACTAAACGAGTAAAATGCCATGACCTCCTGTGGAGACAAAATAGTGCATAGCACTTAGACAAAATGTTGCCATAACAGCAATTAATCGGTTGAAGTGTAAAGAAACAGTAATTGTTGATGGATTACCAACCGAACTATTCAAGACCTGTGGTCAAAGCAGTATAATTTTACTGATTTGTAAAATTGGCCCGTATTATATGTCCCTACAAAAAAAAAACGACTTTAGTCTCCTCTAATATATCAAATCTGTAGACATTTAAGATTCGAATAGAATTTTCTGCAATGGTTGGGGTCCTTGGGTGGCGCTAGATTTGTAACTCAAGTATAGCTTGTCATAGGTAATGGGGTTGCCACCTATCATTGACTAGACACAATGTCTCTTCGAATCTTGTGCAATGTTTGGGGTCGTTGCTTATTGAATGTTGCTATTATCCTCAGGGCGGCGGTATCTCCTACCATTCCTATTTTGTATAATTCAACATGAGTTGAAATTGAATATGACGTTGGTTATTGTAATATCAGAGGGTTGGCAATACATTGTATCTGGAGGGGGATGTAAGCTTCTTGTTACAAATAATGGAAAACTAAAACATTAAATAATGTTTCCTTCTTTGGGAATCGAAAGCGGCACCCATTGCAACCACATTGGTCCTTTCGGTTTGCGGTTTTTTTTTTCAATATTCTTTAATTATTAAAAACCAGTAAGGAAAGTAGTAAAGTCGGACTATAACATAAAATTGGATGAAAAAAATGTGATATTTATCTAAATGTGAATCTACCTAGATCTATCCATAAAGTATGTCAATCGACTTCAAACAAATATAAATAGGTCATCCGTTGGGCTATGTCTGCACTTCTAGAAAACGCAACTACGTAATTCTATGCTCAATTTTTTAAGTTGTGCAAAATTTGATGTCAATCTGACTAACATGAGGAGTTTGATGCCCAATTTACTAGAAATCGGGCGAAAATATATATGAAAGCTCTATCCAAATATTGAGCGATTTCAAACAAACTTGTCACAGGTTAGGTTATACAACTTTCAGAACGTTTTATTCCAATTGGTTCCTTAGTACGTCAATTACTTAAAATCAATCTATAATAAAAGGGAGCTATATCCAAATCTGGACCGATTTTCACGAAACTTGGCAGACATCATTCTAGGCTCAATTAAGTACGTTATGCCAAATTTCGTGCAAATCGAAGGATATATAGGGACTTTGGTGCACCATTTACATGAAATCGGACGAAACTATATATGGGAGCTATATCTAAATCAGGACCTATTTTCACGAAACTTGGCAGACATCATTCTAGACTCAATTCAGTACGTTGTGCCAAAATTCGTGCAAATCGGAAGATATTTAGCGACTTTGGTGGACCATTCACATCAAATCGGACGAAACTATATAGGGGAGCTATATCTAAATCTGGACCGATTTTCTCCAAACTTGGCAGACATCCCTCTAGGCTTAATTCAGTACGTTATGCCAAATTTCGTGCAAATCAGAAGATATATAGGGACTTTGGGCACTATTTACATGAAATCGGACGAAACTATATATGGGAGCTATATCTAAATCTGGACAGATTTCACGAAACTTGGCAGACATCATTCTAGACCTAAATGATTAGGCTGTACCAAATTTCGTGCAAATCGAAAGATATATAGGGACTTTGGGGCACCATTTACATGAAATCGGACGAAACTATATATGGGAGCTATATCTAAATCTGGACCGATTTTCTCCAAACTTGGCATACATCACTCAAGGCTTAATTCAGCACGTTATACCAAATTTCGTGCAAATCAAAAGATATATAGGGACTTTGGGGCACCATTTACATGAAATCGGACGAAACTATATATGGGAGCTATATCTAAATCTGGACCGATTTTCACGAAACTTGGCAGACATCATTCTAGACCTAAATGATTAGGCTGTACCAAATTTCGTGCAAATCGAAAGATATATAGGGACTTTGGGGCACCATTTACATGAAATCGGACGAAACTATATATGGGAGCTATATCTAAATCTGGACCGATTTTCTCCAAACTTGGCATACATCACTCTAGGCTTAATTCAGCACGTTATACCAAATTTCGTGCAAATCAAAAGATATATAGGGACTTTGGGGCACCATTTACATGAAATCGGACGAAACTATATATGGGAGCTATATCTAAATCTGGACCGATTTTCACGAAACTTGGCAGACATCATTCTAGACCTTAATGATTAGGCTGTACCAAATTTCGTGCAAATCGAAAGATATATAGGTACCGTTTACATTAAATCGGTTAAATATATATATGGGAGCTATATCTAAATCTGAACCGATTTTTCCCAATTTCAATAGGGTTCGTCCTTGGGCCGAATAAGTGACCTATGCCAAATTTCATCCAATTCGGATCATAAATGCGACCTGTACTTTGTTTACAATTTAACATGGACAGACGGACAGACGGACGGACGGACGGACATGCATAAATCGACTCAGAAAGTGATTCTATGCATATTCTCAAAAGGAACCATGTGTCTATCTCGTTTCCTTTTGCCTGTTACAAACATATGCACAAAGACATAATACCCTGTACCACAGTGTGGTGAAGGGTATAAAAAGTCCAACACTTATTTAGGCGGTGTATTTAAAAAAATCTTTTTCCAATATTGCTTTCCAACACTGCTATAAAATTGGATTTTCAATGTGGGTTATTTGTTTTAAAATTGTATTTTTTGTTCATTGCACTGAATCGAGTAATAATTCATTTGAAAATGCTTCTGTATTAATCTCATGACTCTTATCAGTGGTTTAATGTACCCACGGATCAGATTGATGACGTTATCAATATAAACGACGTAAATATGGCAATTGGTTTTGCCAGAATTGATTTAAAACAATTTATGAATTCTTAATTTAAACTCATTACGATTTGTGCATCGAAGCAGTGCGAAAGTTTCAATTCGCAAACAAGTGAAGTTGAAAAAACAACAATATAAGAAAATTCAGAAATAATGAATTTCAAAATCACGGGCCTTTTAATCGGCCTAATTGGCCTGGTAATATTGTCTGGTAATACAGAAGCTCGAGGCGGAGGCCGTGGAAGTGGAAGTAGGGGAAGTAGTAGTAGTGGAAGAAGTAGTGGTGGTCGTAGCAGTTATAGCGGTAGCAGCAGTAGTCATTCGAGTAGCAGTCATGGAAGTAGCGGGCATGGAAGTAGTGGATATCGGAGTCATTCGAGTGGAAGCTATGGAAGTGGTTCCAAAAATTACGGCAGCAATTCTAAATCACATAGTGATAGTTATTCAGGTAGCAGCGGGTATGGAAGTATCGGATATGATAGCCATTCGAGTGGAAATCATGGCAGTGGCTTCAAAAATTACGGCAGTAATTTGAACTACCATCGTGATAATTATGGAAGCAGCAGCGGTTATGGTGGCAATTTTGGAAGTTATAATTCATACTCGGGCTTAGGCAGCAGCAGATGGCAACAATATGACACCCACTTCAATACATATGGAAATAATCATAATAATGGTCATGGATATTCTTCAAGTAGTTCAAGTGAGTGGTCTTGGTTTGATAGACCTTGAAAAAATATTCTTTAAAAAATCCAGGCTTATTGATCTGATAAACCTTGAAAAAATATTCTTTAAAAAATCCACGCTTATTGGTTTGATAAACCTTGAAAAAATATTCTTTAACCACTTTGAGTATATTCAACAGATGAATCCTAACCGATGTCGCATTTTTTAAAGGACCAGTAAAATGAAATAAACACGTCATTCTGCAAAAAATAAATTGTTCATTTGGTCTTATATAGAAGCTATATCTAAATCTGAACCGATTTCAGGAAACTTAACACACATCTACACCTAATTCATTACGCTGTGCCAAATTTATCCAAACCGAAAGATTATTTGGTGTACCATTTACATTAAATTGAAAAATATATATGAGAGCTATATCCAAATCCGAACCGATTTTCAGGAAACTTAACACACATCATTCTAGACCTTATTCATTACGCTGAGCCAAATTTAGTGCAAATCTAGAGGTATATAGGGACTTTTGTGCACAATTTACCTTAAATCGGAAGAAAAAATAAATGAGATCTATATCTAAATCTGAACCGATTTTCAGGAAACTTAACACACATCATTCTAGAGATAATTCATTACGCTGTGCCAAATTTCGTGCAAATCGAAAGATATATAGGTACTTTGGTCTGCCATTTTCATTAAATCGAAAAATATATATCTATATATAAAAATCCATTTTCGCTTAACACACATCATTCTAGACCTAATTTGTTACGCTGTGCTAAATTTCGTGCTTAAATCGACTCAAAAAGTGATTTTATGCATTTATAGTAGAGATATGTGCTACCTATAGACCTACTAAATTAAGTGAATTCTTTAAAAAATCCAAAAATTTTTGGTCTGATATGACGTTGAAAAATAATCTATATTTAAATTCTTAGTGGAGTATTTGGTACCCATAGAACCCAATGTACAAAATTTCAGAGAATTCTTATAAAAAATCCAGGCTTATTGGTCTGATAGACGTTGACCTTTATTTATAATTTTTATTTTGCTAACCAAAAGAACACAAAGTATCAAATTTCTGCGATTGGTCCGATAAAACCCCCAAAATAAATATTTTCTTAAAAATATCCGAAAAAATGGACTTTTATTTATCATTTTTGGTAGACCTTTGCTAACCAAAAGAACACAAAGTATTCTTTAAAAAATCCACGCTTATTGGTCCGATAGACCTTAAAAAATATTTTTTAAAAATTCAAGCATATTGATCTGATAGACCTTGTAAAAATATTCTTTAAAAAATCCACGCTTATTGGTCCGATAGACCTTAAAAAATATTTTTTAAAAATTCAAGCTTATTGATCTGATAGACCTTGTAAAAATATTCTTTAAAAAATCCACGCCTATTGGTCTGATAGACTTTAAAAAATATTTTTTTTTAAAAAAATCCACGCTTATTGGTCTTATAGATCTTGAAAAACTATTTTATTTTTTTTAAATCTTTCTAAGAAAACTGATTTTTTTATTTTCCAGATCGTGATGACTTTTTAAGTGGTTTTGCTAGCGGTCACTTTTTGGCATCACATATACCAGAAACTTTTAGAAATCTCAATTTCCCTAAACCATATCACGTGAGACATAGTTCTAATGATGCTACCCGAAACAGTTATTCAGAGGACACAACTACCACAACCTCTACCACAGAAACATCAATACCTTCAAACGACTTCAATTATCCCCTTTATGGGAATATGAATTTAAATGAAATATTAAATTCAATAACTAAAGTAAATATGGGTACTCTATTTGAAAATGATGTAACAGATGTATCAGAGAACTCAGAAGAGACGACCACCACAACTCCGACCACCGAACGTGTAATTGTCGACAAAAATCCCTTAGATATTTTGGATAGTCTAAATCCGTCATATCATCCCAATGAAAATATGGATGAATTTTTAGCGAGAATAAATAAAATAAATTTTCATGACATGTTTAGAGGTATTGCGGATTCAACGAAAAATGCTCTGGAGCGGGTAAACGACAAACAAAATCCCACAATAGAAGATACAATAACTACAGAGAAGATAACCACAACAACAACCAGTACCACGGAAATACCAACAACTACCATTTTACAGACTTCTACTGAAACTGTAATTACTACTGCAGAAGATTCGACCATTGCAACGGATCCATCTATTGCCACAGAATCACCACTTCATGTCACAAATCCCGAAATTTCTACACCCTATGGTGTTATTTGTTTTCCAATGATTACGAATGAAATAAATGAATTTGGTGTCAATGTAACAATTGAATCTCTCGGATGTTATCCAGCCCCTGAACCTATTTTGTTGGAGAATATTCCGCCTTTGTAGAAGGTTTTTGTCTGAGAGGATATACATTTTATTGAACTCTAAATTGTGATAAAAAGTTAAGATTATATTATTAAAATATTTTTCCAACAAATACTAATTATATAATAATGATCAATAAAAGTGAATTTTTGTTTCATGTGGGTCCTATAAGTTTTTGTGGACTCAAGAGTCTGTAACATCGATCTTATATCTCGTCTAAATGATTCGATTTACCTCTATGTATCTGCCTGTCCATTAAAATTAGTAATCTTAGTACCGGCCACAGTTATTGACCCATCGTCCGGAAATTGCCCCTAGATCCCACCTTTTTTTAAAGATTGTATATTTGGATATTTTCCTGGTAGCTCTAGAGGCCTTAATTATCACCTGGCCGCCACGAAATAATACACAGATAATGGGAAACAACCAACGAATAAGCATGACGTTTTTTACGAGGATGATCGGTCAATATTGGACCTAATGTGCGGAAAATCACAAACCCAAATCGATTTTAGGTGTTTTAAATGTCCACTTAATGGTGGAGACTATATAAAATGGGACATGGCGGAACGTAACAACGTATTTATTTGTTTAAAAATATTTTTGCACGATATTTTAATAAGAGTGCAATTGTTAGGGTCTGTCAAAAAGCTCGGATTCTGTAAAAACATTTTGCAAGGGTTATTAATAAGCTTGGATTTTATAATAAAATATGTTCCAATGCATTTGTTTAAATAGTTTTCACTGTAAAAAAAATTGTTTCAGAAAAGAGTAAAGTAAAGTAAAACGAACTTTTTATAACCTCAACAATGAGGCGGACATTTAAAATAGCAGAAATAGTTCGGGACCTTAATAAATGGCGGGCAATACAATGTTAAATTTTTGCTAGAAAGATTTGAAAAATTACAGCCAATTCGGGTAAAAGAAGTGTCTAAAAATCGACATCCATAATTTCTGGTAGGGTGATTTACTACCTAATGGGAACCCAAATCCCTAAAAATACCGAATAATAGCGAGTGTCGTTATATTGGGCTTTCATAAATTTTTTTTAAGGAGATTGACTACCCAATGGGAACTCATACAAGTGAAACCAGTAAGGAAAGTAGTAGTATATGGGCCGACGATGTGATACAGACGTCGCCTTTTTGAAAGAACATCGACATGAAATTGAACTAACTTAAATATGTAATCTTATGTATATCGAAACCGACTAACATCAATCCCTACACATGTCATTCTGCAACCTATGCTAAATTTTGTAAATCGATTTAAAGCAAACTTGACACCACATGCTATTTGTTTCAAGTTGCACGGTTTAAAATTTAATATTAATTTACTTGGTGTACAATTAACATGGATAGGTGAAAATTATATATGGAAGCTATGTTCTATCTATATCTGAACCGATTTAAAGGAAACTTGCCTGAGATTAATTTATATTAACTTCAGTACATTGTGTCAATTGGCCTAGGTATGGATCTTTAGTGCACCACTTACTTAAAATCGGACGAAAATATACATAGGAGGTGCATTTAAATATGAACGGAGAATTCTAGTCTTAATTCAGTACGCTATACCAAAATTCGTGCAAATCGATATATATATATAGGAACTTTGGTACACCAATTACCTTAAATCGGGCCAACATATATATGGGAGCTATATCAGAATCTGAAGCGATTTTCATGAATCTTAGCACACATTATTATAGATGCAATTCTGTACACTATGCCAAAATTTCGTGCAAATCGAAGGATATATAGGGACTTTGGTGCACCATTTACATTAAATCGGACAAAAATATATATGGGAGCTATATATAAATCTTAAACGATTTTCTTCAATTTCAATAGGGTTCGTCCTTGGGTCAAATAAGTGACTTGTGCCAAATTTCATCCAAATCGGATCATACATTCTACAGACGGACGGACATGCATAAATCGACTCAGGAAGTTATTCTATGCATATTTTCAAAAGGAACCATGGGTCTATCTCGATTCCTTTTCCCTATTAACAACATATGCACAAAGACATACTACTCTGTACCACAGTGCATTTATAGAAAAATTGCATGTAATAATTTGCTATTTTCACACTTTATCTTTTAAGTGCAGTATATCTAAGTGTTTTGTACTGAAAATACTTCCTAAAAAACCTTCCAAGAAATGTTAACCACAGAAAATATTTTAATTACGTGACCACCACTGTATATATATATACTTTATGGGGTCTCAGGTGATGAACTTTTATATAAAGGGTGTTTTTATTCCCTTCACCACTCTGTGGTACAGGGTATAATGTCTTTGTGCATATGCATGTAACAGGCATAAAGAAACGAGATAGACACATGCACTTTGGGAATATGCATAGAATCACTTTCTGAGTCGGTTGCCCATATTCGACGGACCCATCTGGCAACGCCATAACTTTTGACAGAGATGTCACATCGCTTAATGACATACCGCGTTTGAAGCGTCAGTCCAAACAGATTTTTACCAATACACGCCGCGCGAGCGCTCTGAAATAGTTGAAATTTACATTCAACAGAAGAAATCAATTGTGAAAACTCAACACTCAAAAAAACATTAAAAAATGTGAGAAGTGCGCCTTCTAAGAACACCATTAAGCGTTTATACGAAAAATTTTCGACTGGTAAGGCTCTTTCTAATCCGAAGAGGCCATATAAAAGTCGACCAAGGCGATCGGCCGAGAATATCGCTGCCGTACGAGCCAGTGTTGAGAGGTCCCCAAGAACATCCCTAAAACGCCGTTCCCAGCAGTTGGGCATGGCTCGGTCCACTTTACAACGGATTATTCGCATTGATTTGCATTTGTTTCCGTACAAAATTCAATTGACGCAAAGAATGTTGCCTGCGGACAAGCCTTGTCGATTGGAATGGACCCAAAGAGTCATCGAAATGGCCGAAGATGACGAACAATTTTGGAACAAAATTATCATGTCCGATGAAGCCCATTTCACATTAAATGGGACCGTAAATAAGCAAAATTGCCGTTTTTACGCCACTGAAAATCCTAAGGAGATTCAAGAAGTGTCTCTTCATGACGAAAAAGTCACAGTTTGGTGCGGCGTTAGTGCGAAAACGGTAATTGGGCCGTTTTTCTTCCAAAATGAAAATGGCCATGCTGTTACCATCAATCAGGAGCGTTATCGCGACATGATGACCAGTTTTGCGATGCCAATTATTCGCCGAAAGCAGTTCTGAGGCAGTTCTGGTTTCAACAATACGGCGCTCCACCCCACACAAGTCGCATAACAATCGATTTTCTGAAGAATTTGTTTCCGGGCCGTTTGATGTCGAAAAGTGGTGATTTGGACTGGCCACCGCGTTCGCCCGATTCGCCGCCGCCTGACTTCTTCTTGTGGGGATATTTGAAGTCAATGGTTTACGTTAACAAGCCAAGGGCCGTAGAAGAGTTCAAGGACAACATTCGTGAAGAAATAGCCGCTATTCCGGCCGAAATGTGGCAAAAACGATGGAAAATGCAGCAAGAAGGGCACAATACGTCATAAACGCCAGAGGCGGCCATTTGAGAGATATCATATTCAACCTCCAACCTCCAAATTTTTATTTTTTTCTTTGATTTAAAAAAAAAAACATGGGTTCGTCGAATATGGGCAACCCTGTATGTCTGTCCGTCTATTTATGTTAAATTGTAAACAAAGTACAGGCCGCATTTATGATCCGATTTGGATGAAATTTAGCACAAGTCACTTGTCTGTGATCGGAGAAAATCTCGATTGGAGAAAATGGGTTCAGATTTAGATATAGCTCCTCTTTGGCATGAAAACACGATCGTTTTGTTTGTTTACAAACTGCTGGACAAAGAATATTTTCTCATCGGAGTAAACCAAATTCTGCAGTTCACCACTTTCTGCCAAGCGAAGCAGTTCTTCAGCACTTTTGAGTCTATTTATACCCTACACAACTATGTTGTCAGGGTATTATAGCTTTGTATATATATATATATATTGGTCCTAGACCCACTTTTAGTATACCGATCGTCATATCTCGACCAGCTGAGTCGATCTAGACCTGCGTGTTCGTTTGTCCGTCTGTCCATTATAATTTGTAAACCTGATACAGGCCACAGTTATGGACCAATCTTCACGAAATTTTGCATGTAGGCTGGGTTCTGGCCAATGAAGACCTCTATTGTTTTTGGGAAAGATCGGTTAAAAATTAGGGGATGAAATGGACCAAATACTTAATTTTTGTCTGGTTTTCTGGTCGCTCCAGAGGCCGCAATCATGGCCCAAACATCTCGAATTTTTACATGGAGAAGGGGATCGGGCCGTGGAATAATCATGCATCTTTTGATAAAGATAGGTGAATATTTAGCGGGTCAAATGGACCTGACTTTTGTGTGAAAAATAACAAAATTTGTATTCCACGGCGTATATATTTACTACTGAATTACATGGACCTGATAAGTTGATAGCATATTCAAGAGGAGTGGTTGACCTTTTGATACTAATTATATTGTCGTATGTACTCGGATGGATTCGGGAGATACACTTACATATTTATGGGTACTTACGTATAAATATATTATTTGGTAACCCATTACCACACTAAAGGGCAAATATCGCGAAATATTGCCCAAGCTCAGAATATAGAACCACAGAAAGTTCGATTTTCGTGGAAGTTGTATGGTCGGCTCCGTCCGACAATATTGCTCCGCTCATTGGTTTCTTTCTGTTGCGGTATAAGTTCCTGCACTTTTTGGAATTTCAATGGCTTTACCCCGAGTTCAGCTCATGAGCCATTTTTCGGCCACTGCGACGGGGCTTTCGATCAAGTCGCTTCATTACTTTTCGAACCATGTTCGAATTCATACAAATGGTACACCAAAGAATACAAGTCTGTCCGATTGATATGCAATTTTGTTTTAAATCATCTCCGATCCCATTTTAATGGTGTTGCAAAATGCTAAATCTGTTCTATCGGGAGGTTATTATACATATGAGTATGTACCCAAAGGGGTGAAGGGTATCATAT